TATATGTGTTTTTGTTTAAAAAAAAAATCTTAATCTGAAAAGTATTATGTCTGTCAAATAAATGTATTGGCATAGGATATACAGGTACAATATAAGTTGTATAAAGTGGCATAAAACAAGAATACTATAGTACTAGTACCTCAATATTGGACTTATGTAGCATACTTGAGTAAATGTACTTGAGTACAGTAGGTATTCCCAATGGAAAAACAATGCAAACTACATTAAGCACAGAAAAGAGGTGATTTTCTGCTTGAGGCTCTGGTGCAGAGATGTAATAGAGAATAAGTGTGTAAACTTCGCTCACTGATTGTCACAAAACAAGTAACAATCAATATAAATCACATCTGTTAAAAAGAGTTCATTATGCTTCTGTCCTCGTTAAAGTTCCTCGTATATCTTTATAATGTGTCCACCACTTTGACAGGCGTATTACACAGGCAATGAATTTAAACTATTTTGCAAATAAATCAGGTCTGCTTCAGTCCAATTAAGAATGCCTCAACCTATGTACACAACAACCTGATGCTTGTGAATATTTTCACTATGTCCAGCAGTGAGTGGGATCAACTTAAAGCCCCATGTCAAAATGCATTTTCTATGGTCCCTTAATAACTCAGGCTAATCACTTTAGCATTGTCTCTAGGGGCACAATGCACAATGTGCTGTATCCTAGCAAGGGGGCTAGGGAGCGGTCTGGTGACGCTGTGTTGAATTTGGGTGACAGGGCCCCACTAGGAGTGGGCGCCCCCCTGTCCCTTAGATAATCCCCAGGAGAAAGGGCCTGCATTTAGGGCGCGATACGTCTAATCCGGGGAGACCTTGTTCACAAAGGAGCCCGGCACTTCCTCTGGCCTGGGAGCTTCCGCTGGTCCGGGGGGCCTGGCGTGGGTGCCAGTACAAACATTCGCCAATAATAGACAACCACATTGCAATGGAACAAACAACAGACATATAGATACACACACACACACACACACACACACACACACACAGACATGCGTGGTGGACAGAGCGGTGAGTATGGCAGGACTCAAAAAAACAAACATGTAAATTCACACTGTCCTTATGGGGAGCCAATCCAAACAAGCAGCCCACGCACACAAGGGCCAGCGCGAATAAACGCACGCACACACACACACACACACACACACACACACATACACACACACACACACACTACCGACTGTGGGCAGAGGCAGTGTTTACATTCTGCCCCTGGGTACAATGAAACAAAGCTTGCGTGTACTGTAGAAAGATTAGCTCAGTGAAGGACAGAAAGAGAGAGAGAGAGATCAAACACAACTCGCTGCCTACAGATAGTTTCATATTTACAAACAGGAAGACAGTGTCATGTAATAGCCCCCTCAGATGCAGCACGGAGTCCCGGTTCACTCATACATACAGTAGATGTGATCAGGGGATGCTGGTGGATGACGCATACACATCAACTCTATCCCCTGGCAGCATTTGTGTTCCTACCGTAAGGGAAAATTTATATTTAAAAGAGATTAAATCTGCAAAATCGTTCTTTTCCTAAACACATTTTTACCACAAAAACAAATAATACTCATATAACATTTAGAGACATTTACGTAAACAGCTGAGGGATATTATTCCATATTTCTCTGACATGATTTCCACACACACGTTTGGATTAGAGGTTTGGAAAAAAGGGAAAATTTCAGGCATGGTGTATCTTTTTCCTGGTTTCAGACTTGCTTTTCCTTCCCATAGTATTTCACGCTGACACGTCCCCTTTCCTCTGTGGGTCCACTGGCATTTTCTTCTGGCCACAATACGTCTGTGGAGAAGCTGCAGCAGATAGCAATCAGTTATTAGGGAACAGAATAGAGATATAAGAAGAAGAAAAAAAAACTTCTTGTGAATAATTATAAACTTGCAGGTGCTCATATAAAAAATGGCATTTCGACCTTATCTGAAATTCTCTGGTTCAACTTCAACCACAAATCTTTGCGTTTTAAGATGTTTTGTTTACAGTGTGCACACTTACATTTTCTTGATTCTCTCATTCTAAATATTGCCATTTACAGATTATGAGGATATGAGGGCACAGACAGGTAAAAGACACTCAACCCGTTCTATACAGGACCCTCAGACGGAAGGAGACAATAAACGACATGTTTGCATCGTTTTGTCTCTTGCATCTCTTTATGTTCATTTTTCCTCTCTTTATAGTAGTTTTGTGTCTCTTTATGTTCATTTTTCATCTCTTTATGGTAGTTTCCTGTCTCTTTATGGTAATTTTTCCACTCTTTATGGTAGTTTCCTGTCTCTTTATATTCATTTTTCCTCTCTTAATAGTAGTTTTGCGTCTCTTTATGTTAATTTTTCCTCTCTTTATAGTAGTTTCCTGTCTCTTTATGGTAATTTTTCCACTCTTTATGGTAGTTTCCTGTCTCTTTATGGTCATTTTGTGTCACCTTATGCTGTTTTTTCATTTCCTTGTAGTCATTTTGTGTCTCTTAGTAGTTATTTTGTTTCTGTGTCTACTGACCTCTGTGACTTTCACACAAGACATATTAACAGTCAGTCTATACAGTAGCTCTGGCCCAGGGGCCCAAGAGATCAGGGGCCCCTTGTTCTCTGAGGCCTGAACCGGTCCAGGCCGCTGTTTGGGCCTGTGTCAGGTAGGCCTGTTCAGTAATCTGTCCTTGCTTACTCCAGGGTCATACTCTCCTTTCTCAGCTTTTTGGAAGTCTCTTTATTTTCCAGTGTGACAAACCCCACCCATTTGGCACCGACACAGTCTGAAATAAACCACAGAGAGTACTTAAACCATCTCTGTGACTCAGGTCTGACATGAAAGTAAAGCCTTCTCTCCAGGCCCCTTTCTTCTCTGATCACTGACCTTTGGCTGAACGGTCTTTCAGCAGCAGTGCATGGTCAGTACAGACCTCATATTTAATAAGAGTTATGAGCAGTGACACAGTCATATATCAGAGTAATGCCCAAACCCTCCCATGCTGTGTCTCGCAGCATTACGGACTCATTATGAAATAGCCAACCGGTCCAGGCCACTTTCTGTTTTGACAGAAAGAGGTCCACCACAGCACTGGCACATGTCCTCATGTGTGGCGTCCACCAAGACTAACTACTCGCGACAGTGCCAGGTGTGTGTGCGCTGTGCGTGTGTGTGGACATTAAGTCCGAGGGGAAGCATGCCTAATGTGGGAGAGAAACAGTGAATCCAACATGGCCACTAGCCAGCATCAGTGTTCTCTTCTTGGAGAATTAGCCTGTCAATCCAGTCTAATTTCCGAGGACACAGGCTGCTCTAAAACCAAGGCTGAGTTTAAACTGGACACACTGACTCCCTCAACTGTTTTCTCAGGATTAGGTGCAGAAAAGCTGGCTGGCTGATGTGTGGCAGGTCAGGTCGCACTGAAGAGCGGAGCTGCTGCACAAATACGAGTCTAGTCCAGGGTCAAGCTCACACTTACCAGTCTGCAGTTAGTCTGTTACTCTAATCATCAACTGCATTTGTCCGACCAAGAGAAAAAGCATCTTAAGGAGCAGGATGTTTACCCAGCTGGATACAACTTGGCTAAATACCTAAGAAGTAAGTTTATGTGAGCACGCTGGGGTCTCTGTGTACCTGGAGGATTTCTCTTCCAAATTTCACGCCGTTGTTGTTGTCATTTGTTGAGTCTGCCGCTGATCTTACGTCTCATTCTGACATACTGCCGCCACCGCTCAAGTGCTTACTTGCATTGTGTGAGCACCTAGCCTGAATTCCTGAGAAGGAAAACAAGCAACACTGAAGGAACGAGGATATGGCATCAGTTTAGATTCTTAATGTCGAGCACACGGTTGACAAGGCTGCTATTGTCAAACATTTTCTTGATTCGATTTTTTTAGATTTACAATATCACAGAATATACTGTCATCACAAAAAAAACACGTACTATGACAGAATATACGTCTATCACCCACTCCTAGCAGTTCCTCTTTGCGCTGTACCCATGGATGTTATGAAAACAGCCACTGCGATGAATTTTTATGCTTAAGAAAATGTCTTAAAGGTGTTTCTTGTTTGTTTACATTCAGTGTGACTCACCAAGATGCACTCTGCGTCACGGACATGTTAAATGCATTTCCTTTCTCATAAATGGTTTGCAAAACCAACTTTCTTTACAGGTTTGAAACCTGCATTTTTATGTCCATGTTTACTAGCTTGCCATCTTCTTCCTCACTGCTTTGGATGGTGCATTTGTTTACTTTTTGACACTTTACCACTATAAGTGGAATAGTGTGAAATTATTAGCTGGCCACCCAACACGTGCATGAGAGCAGGGGCCCATCAAACTAAACACTGTTTCACAGCAAAACTCCACACGGAACCTTTAATTTGATAATCATCAGAGTGAGATTTTAGGTTTAGTTTTAGTTATTTTGACTAAGCTAGTTACACTGGGGGTGCAAAGCTGGTTGACACCGAGACCTCTGCTGCCTGGTACTTTTTCCATTCAAAATTTGCAGAAATCATCTAAATAATGTTACAATCACCAAAATCGACCAAAACGACTTAACACAGAAGTAGCGTTTAGATCCCGAGCTGCTGCCATGATCACTTTAGCTTGTGTTGTTAAAATATGTAGTTGAAAGCATGCATGTCTGTGCTTTAAGACCTGAGGCCTGCCTTCTGACACCAGGACTCTCTTGGCTCGGCCGAGTCGTTCCCTGGCCGAGAGCTGCGCTGCTGTTGACACTCTGTTTGGGGGCCAGAGGCCATTCGCATTTGTGTTCTGCCAGCTCATATATCTAACACCTGTTGCTTGGCCCAGTTCAACAAGTGCAACTCAAGCACTTATCTCTGGGTGTGCTTTGGGAGACATACGCTTACTACCGTATGTGTAAAAATTTACACAGTTTGAGAATCTTGATGATTACTGGCCTACTCCCAGAATCCTGCTGCCGGTGGATTCAGGCGTGTGTTGCATAATTCGCATGCAAAGAAAGTCACAAGTGCAAGCAGGGAATATACAACCCCTTTATTGGTTTAACCAAAATTAACAGTGTCAATATTAAAAGAAAAGCAAATAAAGCTATAAATATAACAGACAAAAACATTGAAAACAATTAGTTCCTTGCTTTAAATAAAAATCTTTACAATGTCGTGCTGTAGCATGAGTCAGTTTGAAGTTCTGGTATGCAATGTAAGCAACCGAAAACCTTTTAGGAAATCACTGGACATTCAAAGGAGAACATGCTCTTCAAGTGGCAACGCTGACAATAATCCAAACCCGTGTCTGTTCAGATGAGAGCTGTCACCTATGTGTGGCTAAATGCTCCTTTTCAACATCATTAGTTAAGTATACAGGATTGAGGATGGTGCAAATAAAATCAAAGTGATGAACAGGTGATATTAAAATAACACACAAGGGTTCTGGTCCCTGTATGGAGTCAAATCAAGCAAAAGGATGCACAAGAGCTAAACTGAGAATAGATGCTGCTGAGTGAAAAAATAAAGTAAATGTAAATGACAGCTCACTGATGCATGAGGGCTGTGGGTGAATGGGTGTATACATACAGTAGATGACCACTGCATTGTTCCATCCTGTGTAGAGTGAAGCAAGGTGAGACTAGAGCAACGGAAAGCACTTTCACAGACAGCGATGAGACAAAATACAGGGACAGAAACAGACAGACAATGCTGGGAGGTGTGTATTCACGTAAATCAAAAAGGTGCAGTGGTGTGTTGCTGTATGTTTAGGCGCGGTACAGCAGGATCCTCTCAGCACAGTCCTGGCCGACCAAGCCGGCGTACTGCTGCACCTCCGTCTCGTCGCTGGAGCTCTTGCGTTTGCGTGAGTAGGCAGCGTAGGGCATGACGGCCCGTCTGTATAGCACCAGCGCTCTTCCAACATCCTTCAGCGCCCGAGCATCTCCTGGACACAAACAGGCACACATGAGAACATAATAAGGACCAGCGTAGACACATCAAGCACAATAAACATTGTCCTTATTTTCCCTCGTTCAGTTGAGTTAACCTCTGAGTGACTTGGCAGGGATACGCCATTATTCCGAGAAGCTGTTGGAGGAGCAGAGAGCATTTTTCCCCCCACAGCACTAATTCCAATATGCCTTAAACCTGAAGTCACGGAGGTGCATGAGCAGGCTAGTTCGTTGGCCTTGTTTATGGAGCCTTGCTCCCTGCTGGCGTGCCAAACTCAGCATCTCATTAGGTCTTGTGTCATGCACTGCCAGCTCCCATCAAACCAGTAAAAGGACTGCTAATCTCAAGTGTGCGTGTTTAGGAGGAGTGAGGAATGGTCGGAGAGTCAGATGGGGGAAAAAAAAAGGCGAAAAACGATGACCCTCGTTCTGACACTAAAACCGCTGCCTCCAAGAGCGAGGGGCAAAGCCAAGAGGACACGCAAGGGGCAGCACAGCGGGGAGTACCAACTGAGCCGACCTAACCCAAATATAGTGCGAGTGGGTCTCAAAATCCATAGTTAGTGCTAATCATCTTCCCAGTCTGAGGAGTCCTTCATTTGCTGTCATTCACTGGAACTTAAGCAGATATCTCATGTCTCTCCAGTGATTTACATCCCAGCTCCACTCACTGTAATTGCCCTCTTAAAATGCTTTAATCTCTCTCGTTAGCTTTTATTCCACGTCTTTTCCAAACATTCGGCTTTTTCTCCCTTTGCAAAATGCCTAAAATGTAAAATTTATATTGTGCCTAAAATGCACATCCCCTACACACTCTGCACATAATATTTCATCCGTTCAGCCTGTCCCGTCTGGAGCAATCTTGGTCTGGCCGAGCTGAGAGGAAGCAGATGAAAATAAACCTGGGGCCAGGCTGTGGAGTGGAGTGGACGAGCTTGCCAGGCCTATGGCGACACATCAGTCAAACAGGAGCGAGTTGGATTTGGTATTAATAGAGCTCAGGGCCTCCTACTCACCACTACCGTTCCCCATGACAACAACCCATGTGGCTCGCAGCTGAGCACCCAGGTGGTACGAATGATGTGAGCGCAAGTTTTTCTGCCTATTTCCGAAAATATTTAGGATGCCGCCAAGTGCCGCCAAATCCAACCACGATCAACCCAATCAACTGGGAAGACGAGATAAGAAAGAGGCAAGCTGCCCAAAAAAAAGTCTTGTCTCTTGCTCCAGATGTTAAATGGATCCCCAGTTTAAAGAGAACTCAAACCCACTCTGACCGGACCCTGAAAATTCCTGAGCTGGATGTGATCAGTTAAATTGTTACAGAACTTAAGTATCACTGAAATGGACAGTGACTAAATCAGGACAGCGGTCAATATTTGGTTCAGGCAAATATAAGTGAATGTCCCCAACAATTCCTTTATCTCTAACTGAAGAGCAAGACAGAGGAAAGAAGAGAGCTGGTATAAACATAAAGCCCTGAAGCTCTTTAGCTCTCACACCCCCATTTCCATCAATATATTTTCATATTTCAACCAAGATTTTCAAGCTACACTGTGGATTCATGTTTTATTTATTAGGCTCATTTCCCTGCTCAGTAATGCCCTAACCACTGCGTTTCCCCCTGTTCTCTACAAACTGCTGAGTCATATAAGTGAAGAATGCTTGATACAAACTTTTAAATGAAGAAAATCAGCAGTATGTTAAGTCTCACCATGTGGGGAAATGGATTTTAAAAGATGCAAACGTGTTATGTAACTTCCACATGTCCATAATTTTGGTCCATGAAGAATTAATGTGTCCTGATGGGATGAAAGTGAAAATATTTAAACGTTGGATGGATGCTTCCTTAATCACTTAAGCAGCCTTCAGTATTAGTGGTACAGTCTCTCCAAGCACTATGTGCCTCATGTTTTTGGATGGACTGCAACAGCGGGGCCAGTCCTATAATTGCGTTTGTGACTGACTGACTGACTGACTGACTGACTGACTGACTGACTGATTGACTGATTGACTGATTGACTGACTGACTGACTGACTGACCAAGTGAAAGCTACCCATAATCCAAAGCAGTGAAGGTCTGAGAACTCCAGAGGAACTACAGTGTGAACAGAAAGAGGAGCTGAAGCGGACCATACAGAGAACTGAGTCCTCTTTCAAATTCGGTCGGTTTCAGAGTCGGTTTACTTTAAGGGACTGAGGACTGAGTTTGGTTTGTTTCAAAAGGACTACATGTGAAAACACCCGAATATTCTGTCGCTTCTAACTTTCTCATCATTTTACAATTAAATAAAGCCAAAATCACAGTCTGTCTATTCATGTGTAGAGTGATTTCATCAAACGTCGCAGCAAATCGAATCACTTGCATGGGAAATTGTGTCCAAACTTTTGACTGTACTGTGTGAGCACAGAGAGAAGGAGAGAAGCAAACAGATAAAGGAGCTGACACCAGGCAGAATGCAAAAAGCCTCCGATATGGTCCAGACATATACTAGGTTTTGAGTTAGTCTTGTTTATCAGTGTGTCGGCCCACTTAAACAACTATTACGCAAAGTTAAGCTTTTCCACTCCAATGCGTGACACTGCTCTGAAGCACCACTGTCCCCTTGTTAAGATATTAAGTAGTGAACATTTCACAGACCACTATGGACAGCAGCATGCAGCTTTAAGACGGTCTATTAATCTTAACAGTAAAACTGAGCAGGGGTCCTATCCCTCTCTCTCTCTCTTACTCAAGGCAATCCAAACATCCGCTGCTCACATAAACAACTTTCCTTTTCTTCTTCACTCACTCTGCCCTCCATCCATGCCCCCCTCCTCATTTTGAGGAGCTGCAGGCGCTGTTTCCGTCAGGCCCACCGGACGTTCAGTGACACGCCGCTCTGAGGTCACAGCTTCTCGGTGTCGGGGTTCAAGGGTCGGGGGGAAGAGGAGTGGTGAGGGTCGGTCAGGGAGTGAGAGGGTCAGGGCCGAGGCTAGGGGCCTTGACACCTCGCCACGCTCCTCTCTCTCTTCCCATCCATCTAAAACTTTCAAAACACTTGCTTAAGACCGGATGCTGGTCAAAGGCAGGCCATCGGGTTATGACCACTCACTATGACCCAGTGTTGCAAACTCAAAACAGGGCTTACTTTTGAAAAGAAAAAGGCCAAAATAGTGGTGTAGTGAGTAAAAAGACTACTCTTTGACTGGAAGACCTGGGTTCAAGCCCCTGTGTTAGCACACATCCGTCCAGCTGACCCTGAATCTCTGTAGCTGACCACGAATTTTGACCCACACAGCAAAGAGAGTGACAAGAGAATTCCTCTGGATTATGAAGGATATTATCATTATTGTTGTTATTAAAATGAGGGAACGGTTCTTCCACAGCGGGAAAAGTGTAGCAGATCCGGACCCAAAAAAAAAAAAAAAAAAAAAAAAAAAAACCTGACTTCTGCATTATAACATAAGAGACAGAGAGGAGTCATATCTGTCTCCCCTCCACTCTCAATGGGAACATTAGTGCATGTCAGGCTAAGGAGCAGAAAGCCCAGCGAAGAGCAGAGCAAAGTGGCTGTGACAGCGAGACAAGATATGAAAGTGTATACTGTAAAAGATAAATATATAGTGGAGAAAGCAAGTGGCTTGGGGGTAATGGGTGTATGCTGTCAGCCTACCACCGTTTAGCCTACCTAATGTTTATGTTAATGTCAATGTTACTGAAAGCACAAAGCACAGGATCTAAAAGTCAATCAGCTTCATGAGAGGTGAATGTATTTGTATGAGAGATGAAAGAGAGACAAACAGAATGGGATCATTTTATTTAAACATTTTTAGATATTTGACTTATTGCGAGTGTAGTGTGTGTGTGTGTATATGAAATATGCATTTTTGTTCATTTTACTTGGCGCCTCCTGGACACACTTAAAGTCCGGGGGCGACTATTTGTGTCACACATTTTTGCAAGTGTTTATTCTACTGAGCGGGCAATGCCCCTACCCCTGTCTCCGCACACTGATTATTAGTGTGTGCGAGAGAAGTTACATATGTGTGGTGTCGTACGTGTGTGTGTGTGTGTGTACATACTGTATAGACATCTGTGAGAGGCCACAACAAGGCCCTCGAGGCCCTCGATGTGTCAGCGGCAGGCATGTAATCAATGCGAGTCAGCTTTGGACAGAGTTGTGTAAACTTTAGATTAGTTGTCTTTACACACCTCATTAGGACAGCTCTGTAACCCGGTCACTCTGACGGTCTTAACGCGACTCCAGCACCCCAGTTCTCATTCACCCCTGGGTGAAGCTTGGAGTTGAAATTAATGGGGGATTTTCAAGGCAGTTTTGGTGAAAACAGACATTTCTTCAACATTCTTTTCTGCCAAGTTGCTTTTTTATTTTTAGATAAAGACCCTTTGCTGTCATTGTTATTTATATGGCTAAATTTAAAGCTAAGTCTAAGCTCTGCCAAGATTTTCAAGGTATATCTCACTATAACTAATCTATCTTTTGTACCAGTAATGAACCCTGTTGATAGGGTTATTGATAAAACTTTAAGGAGTTGTACTTGACAACCAACCTCAAGATAAATGATGATATATAATGCTGAATATTTGTTGATAAAATATCACACATTTTACTTTTGTGGCCACTGCAGCTAAATAAATGAAACTGCAATAGGTAGTTAGTTCATAAAAGATACACAAGAGACTCCGGCACTGTTACATGAAGTCAGGACTTCCCTGGGACTTAAATACAGATTGGAACATGTCTTTATTTAGACCAAAAACAAGCCACACAATACCAATTAGGACTAGCCCACAAGCCTCAACAGTGTGCCATGCTGCTAACCTGATGATGACACAGGGCAGGCTGACCTGGTGACTGACTGACCACTGGGCGTATTTCTGAACAAGACAGAAACCTCCACACCACAGCCAGTCTGGCAGAGGCCACAGTTCAACCCCACAAGCTTGGCAACAGACGTGAGAGCCAACCATCAAGACAGCTAGCACTGAGATATAATGACACTGCGTTTGGATAGCTTGGCCTAAAATAATGTCTGACTCTGTCCAAGATCAACAGTCAAACGCTGGAACGGAGGCACCACAAGAGCCACAGACACACAAACATACACTGGCCACAGTGAAAATGGCACAGTCTGAGACCGCCACTTTGTCCTTAGTAATTTGTGCCTACTCAGGGATTAAGGGTATGATTGACAGGAAAAGGTCAGACCTACCACTGGCTAAGCTGTTAATGGCAATGTTGTAAATGACCGGCCTACTAATGGTCTTTTAAATGCCCTCAATTCTCCTGGGTGTGGTGCTTTCAACACCATTTGAGTCAACAACAAAAGCTAGCCAGAAAATCAAAAAAAGTTGCAGAATCCTCATTTTCTTACAACATGTGTTAAGATTTAGAGTCTTTATAGATGGTGAATTTAATGCCCACATCCCTTAGCTGATCCCACAATCTGTCGCTTACAATACGGGACAGGAGAAATATTTGTTTCATATAAGTTCATCGTGTGTGCTGGTTTTTACCTCTCTGCATGGCACCAAGTCCAAGTATGACCTCACTACATCAAACTCTTAATCCGTCTCTCTACTTTCATGTATTCCTCCTTCGTCCTCCACCTCTCTGTCAACCTGTCTCTCATTTTATTGTACTTCTCTCACTTCTAGTGCCAGCGTACCGCCACCAGCCTCCCTCCCTTTCACTTTCCATTTCTATAAAATCATTTTTTATCAGACGTCCCCCCGCCCTTCCATCTTCTCTTCCATTACCCCCTCTCTTACCCTCCATCTATCGGTCCCTGTCTACTTGACAATCAAATTCTTGTCCTCCCACATCCCCTATTACTGTCTATCAGTGGCCCTTTCCTGTTTGGTGATGCAGATTAATGGGGAATAGTAAACAGGAGATGGCTGGCCCCCGTAAACTCAATCATCCAGGTTACAAGCACTTACAATACCCACAGCATGTGTGTGAATGTTCACCTAAAACCTAACCTAAGGGACAAAAATGCAGAGTCAACACGGGAGGGTGAGCAGAAAGAGATTTAAAACATAGGGAGACAGAAAACGTATCTGGCCATGCACCTCTGCAGAAAAATCATGCAAAAACTCTCCTGTCAAAACTTTTAAACTCACATCAACTCTCCCTGGCCCCGGTCTCTAACCCTGACAGTCCAGGCAATGGGCGTCTGCCAGTCTACCTTCTGAATGCGGTTTATTACCACTGATATCACTATTCATTTAATGACAACATGGACCTTCCATAACGACAGCACTGGCCCTGCTCTGACCACACTGAAGGCTCATGGGGAGAGCAGACTGTGTGATCAGAGCTGCTGGCCCTCCGTCTACCCCTGTTCAACGACTGCACGCTGCCTTGGAGCAGGCCCACGGTTTTCAGTACACCATCACAGTGAAACCGGATCAGATGTTAACACAAGGTTCATGGGTTCATCCAGAACAGCGTGTACGAAGGACTGGAGGATCCAAGACCAAGCTCACAGTAGCAGGACAGTGAGCTAGTAATGTAATGAATGTAGGCAACTGCATGCGAGAGATGTGAGAAAATGCCGTTTCGTTTAAATGACTTATTAAATGACTTACAACACTGTAAATGACTTACAACAGAGCGGAGCGTACCTGCATCAGGATCCTGGTTGAAACGAGCGTAGCGGGAGTTCTCCAGCTGCGGAAGGCATCGCTCTATTGGTACCCAGACATAGGTCTCCGGGCACAGGAGGTCTGAAGGCCGGTACTGCCCCTGGGGAATGAGAACGGGACAGAGAGAAAGGGTTACACCTCCTGCTAAAATGATTCATTATTTATAACCAATAAATCGATCTACATAAAATGTCAACAAGCTTGAAAACTGAGTGTTTTATCAAAGCAAAAATGTCAAACATCAGTTTATCACAACTTCCTGAATGCAAGAACTTTTTAAAACTTTTTAAAAATATTTTGATCAATTCAATATCTTAAGTTTTTTACTGTTTGCCGGACACAACGAGCAACTTGAAGACATCATGTTGAGCATGTTTTTGAGCTTTATTAATGTTTTCATACATTTTATAGACTAATTCATTAATCTAAAACATTGCTGACAAATAATTCAGTGATAAAAAATGATCATTTGTTGCAGTGTCAGTAAAACCATTTTCACACTACGCAAGTGCCGCTTCAGGGTCAAAGGTTTTTGACAAGTTGTAAACTGACCTCAGGGTCAGGAGGAAGGTTGAGACCTGGATCAAACTTTGCTCTGTTTAAGTTCTTTGTTTAAGCGCTATGCTTCTCTCCGGCAGGAGTGTTATGTCGTCTGCAGTGCTGAGCAGGAAATGTAAACACACGAGCATATTGTAAAGTGTGCTTGTGAAATAGGTACAAGTCTGTATTTGACCTAACATTTTGGATGGAAAATAAACCAAGCTGAACAAAAACAGCTGCAGGGCAAAGAAAGAAAAAAACTGAGATGGGGGTTGAATGAACAGAAAGGAGGAGGAGGAGGAAGAGACTCCATTATCAGAGACCTGCGTTCTATCACATGACTCCAAACAAATACAAACTGCTGAGAGAGCTCTGTAAACAAGCAGGCGCCTGCAACAGGCCCGCTGCACTGTCTCATCATACACAATAATATTTATGGTTTGTGAGACACTAAACTGTAGGACAAGGACTCCAGCATTTCATGAGCGCACTTTTTTTTTATATACAACTGAGGTCAAAAAGTGCTGGGTGATTAAACTTACAACAAAAAGAAAAACAAAATTGTCACAAGAAACTCAAAGTAAGCAAGACAAAGGAAATACCAAACCCCTTTAAAAGGCACGCACTCTGACCACGACCCATCTATCAGTCGGCCTTTATGGAAAATATGCAGCCTGCCTTTACATGCAGGATAGGATGCCATGAAAAATTAAAAACAGAAGAATGTGAAGGACACACTGATTGGTCAGGATTTCCCCTCAAGCTGGGGTCCTCATCTAGAGCCATCTTTTTTTTCTCCTCCCCCAATATCAAGTCAAGGGGTAAAAGGTAAAATTAATGCATTCATACAGTCATGCAATAAGCGTACGAGCCCATACCGATGTGAAGGGAAGGCTGTAAAGAGGAAAAAAAAAAGAAGCAATTCAAGAGTGAAGCAAAGGACACAAACATGCTTTAAGTGCTTCTGCTAACAGATGGCTGGAGGTGGAATGCTACAAATCCATAGCTGCAACGGACACACACATTGATGGGATGCTCGCCGTGTCCCAACAACCTACAGCCTTCTACAACTGTCAGCGCAGTCAGCCTGACACTCTCACACTCTACCTCACCTCTATACACTCTTTCAACACTGCAGTGGGACACACCTCTAGATATGCAGAAAACACACACGCACGCACACACGCACGCACACACGCACGCACACACACACACGCATGCACACACACACGCACGCACCTGTTCAGCAGTAGAAACACAGTGAGACACACATACATCCTGCTATAGGCCGCTGAACCCTGACATTATACCTCAACTCAACGTGAATGTGCAGAAAGAGGGAGGAAGGGAGAAACAGAGGTCTGAATTGAGGAGCTAGCCTTTAACGACAAAGAGTGAAAGCAATAGAAGAATGAAAACATGCAAGGACTATTATTCCATGAAGAAAGTTGGTGCATTATTAATAGAAATAAAGAGGATTCCTGATTTCTGTAGGTCTATGTTTTGTTTCTACAATCCACAATGATATATCCAGTCCTTTGCTGTAAAGTTCCAGCAGGAGGAGAGGCCAATCTAACCAAAATGAGACCCAGAGTCTGCTCATGGCTCACACACAATTCCTCAATTCTCCCCTTGAAAAGAAAAAAAAGGGACGCAGAGTGGGATGAAGAGTATGAAAGGACACAGCTATTAGTGGTCTGGACAGAGGAGAGAGAAAAGAAGACAGAAGGAAGAAAAGAAAAAGTTTGACTTGCCACTACCTATCTGTCAGCTTATTTTTTTTTTTATTGGACTGAAAGTAAAGACTGAGTTCACCACTGACTTTCTTTATCTTCCCACTGATTTTTTTTTTTTACTTCCCCCAGTTGGCTTGAAGGGCCTGTAATTCACAGCTGCCCCTGCAGCTTCCTTGGCTCATCTTCAGCTCTGTGTTTTCGGCTTTTGCCTCTGTTTGCTCACAACATCCATCTCTTTATCTAACAGTTACTAATACTGACAGAAGCTGCAGTAATGGTTTCCTGGAACATAGATTCTTGAGAGAGAGGACTGATGAGAAACCAATCAAATAGCTGGAAGTGATAATGCTACTTCTGCAAATCTATGTTGCTGAGTGGCCAGTGATGTAAGGAGGCCATAGGAAGTGATCATGGCCACAAAACCATGTCATAAGGTTTTTTTGTGTGAGTATATATGTGTTTTTTAATGTGTCCACTCATTTCCATTAAGGGCTACCTAGCCACTCGACAGATAACCAAGTTGAGGCTTTCCAGACGAAGGCTTGGTCCTCCTCTCTTCAGTGGCTCTATTCCTCCCTTTCTAAATGCTCAGAGCCTCCCACACCAACCCATCCGTCACCATCCTTCCCTCTCCGTTCCTCGCTCGCAAGTTCAGACGAATGCGGAGGTGATGCCGATAACTGACAAATGCTGAAAGGCTCGTTTAGAGAGACAGAGGGGGAGATAGGGGATGAACAAACGAGTGGAGAAAGAAGGAAACATGTACAAACTTCAGCGGACAGACCTGGCCGCCATCAGAGGTGTGAGAAACGAGATGGAGATAAGAGGTAGACAGGGAGGGACGAGTGAAAATTAGGTACAGATGAGTAAAGGGATGGTATTTAACGTCAATGAGACATAGACTGAGGAGAGGCTTATGGGAGTGATAGGAGCAGTTTCAGTGCCAGTGCTGAGAGAGGATGTTGGAAGCCCGGGATGAAGAGGGAGGGGATTGGAAAGAGACAGAAAAGGGGGGGGGGGGGGGGGGGGGGGTTTGAGATGGAGACAAGAGAAATAAAGCAGATGAGAGGAGAAAATAAAAAGCTACATTCAATAGCAGTCACATAAAGAGTTAGAAACCTAACAAAATGGAAACTGTTAATTTACAAGCGACAGAATGCTCTGCTGTGCAGTGCATATAAATCTAGTGTTTTCCTATGCGTTGGCTAATGAACGTGCGGAGGTCACTGCTTAAAGGAAAGCAATCTTCTTCAGTGCAGATTTCCCAGTGAACTGAACTTTAACAAGGCAAGAGAGGAAAAACTGCTCAACCTCATTTGAATAACAAGATGCTCCAGCGTAAACAATTACACAACCTCAACTCATCAGAGGTAAACAAACACATATCTCCACAGGGCTTGACCCGCAGTTACACAATACTTTGCAGATCTATTATCACTCTGACCACCCTTGGTGACACACACGGCATCGTTCTTTTCAGGCCACACAGACTTCACTCACATACAGATAGCGGCGGGAGCTGCTGTCAGAGCAAACTTTATTACCAACTCATCGACTCCAACACATAGCTGTCACCTTGTTCCTTTCCTTCATTGTGCACCCTTCTCTCCATTTCTGTCTTGTTTTCTCACACATCTCAAGGCAGGGAGGGGATGCCCCAGGCCCCATGCCTATGATTTATACGAAAAGCAATTAATCAGACACATAAATCGAGTTTTTTGCCGCAGCCAAGAAAACCTCATGAAAACCTACACCTCTTTTGCCTTCTGCTTCTTTTCTTCCTCCCTGTCTGACTAGGAAGCAGACATGCGAGTGTTGTCTGTGGAGAGAGGAGACAACTTTCATCAACCGAGACTATCAGCCAGAACCGTGTCGAGCTTGTCCAAAATGGCAGCCAGGTAAAAACTGTGAATCAGCTTATTATCAGTTAAAAAGTTAATTAAAATTTTGCTCCAGTAAAAACAAAGCGTAAGTTTTTACGCCAGTTTTTTTATCACAACACTATCTCTGGAGCAAAGGAAATGATATGTTTACGCTTCTCACAACAACAAAATGGGTTTGTGTGGAACAAACAGAGGATGAACTCTGCCGTTAGCATTTACTTCATTTACTTATAAAGATTCACATTTGAAGCCATTTTTCAAGCAAAAATGTCAAAGATACATTCCCTGGTTTCAGCTTTTTAGAATGTAAAGATTAGCTGCTTTTCTGTTTTATAACATAAATTGAAAATCTTCGGTTTTTAGGACGATTGATCAGATAAAACAATTGAATTCTGATGACAATTTTGGATGAAATTCTGTATAAGAATTTAAGACCAGCAGAATTAGTATCAATTTAAATCACTTTTTAAGGATTTTTACCCTTTGTTATCCTTTGTGCTTTCTCCTGCTTGTGATTACTGTCTTTCATTATTATTCCCTATATAATAAAATACACCAATATGCTCTCATGAAAGAGACCTAAGGTACTATCACATCTTCCATTTGAGGATCTCCCTCATTGTGTTGCAGTCACACCGCAGTATCATGGCTCGAAGTTGTCCTCTCTCATGCTTGGTGGAGGAAAGACCCGAAGCCGGGAGGTGGACTGGTTGTCACAGTGACAGGGTTTCCCTGCCTCCATCTGCATTACTTTACACCCCACATCTGCTGCTGATTTCCTGCTCATATCTCCAGTTGAGTTTTCACCCAGCCTACCGCTCGCTGATGTGTCCCTGTATGTGTGTGTGCACAAGTCAGGCACTGTACAGAAAGTCTAGATGCAGTTTCAATGAGTCTATTCTTGTTAACAGTATCAGTGCAGCTCAAATCTCTTCAGGATG